TCAATATCACAAAAAATGTATACTAACTTCATGACCTGCTTAGACCGGCGATGATCCTCGCAGGTACCAGTGTCGTTTCTGTCTGGGGTACTTTGTCCAAGGCCGGCGTAGCTACTTTAATTTGTATTCGCATCGAGACGGCGCCAAGGATCAGCCAGCCTGTCCCAATCGACACCGCGCCATTGCTCTAGGCATGGACCTACCTCGATCCTGGAAACAACAGCAAGATGAAATAGTTCGAGTAGCATCCTCCAATCCAAAGGCAACTCTCGATTCTTTTTTATCTCAAGCCACTTTCAGTGTGGAACTTTTTAACACGGTTTTAGTCTTATGGCTCCTTTGACATGCTCTTCCATTTTCACGATTCAATGATCCTGCGCTGCGAGCTGCGTTCAAACTTTCCAATCGATCGGCCAACGTACGTGGTCCCACCTGGGCAACCGAAACTGCCAAGGCTATCTACAAGGAGTTGTCAGCCACAGTTATTCAAAACCTGCAGGTATGTAATCTTGTCTCCCATCATTCCATTATTCCTCTTGACACGTTGATGCTCACTGATTTTTTGGGTTACAGTCTAACAATGGTAGGTTTTGTCTTATTTACGACGTTTGGACCACGAAGGGTCGTCGTAAGGCTTTTATAGGAGTCTCAGCGACATACATCGACAATGACTGGCATTTCCAAACCCAGCATCTGACTCTTAAGCTGGTCACTTGGCATCATGCAGGCCGTCTTCTTGCACAGCCAGTAGGTAGATTCTTAATTTCAAATGGATTACACAAAAAGATGAGTCGGTTTCCTTCGTTTCTTCACCTTTTTTTTATCTCCATATCATTTAAAGGTTGTTTTTGCTAACCAATCCATGTTGTCATGTCCACATGTTGGCTCAGACAACAGATTCTGCTAGTTCAAATGCAACTATGGCCAGTGAACTGTCCAACATGTTTTCGAAAGCTGACAATCCAGCCTTTTGGGATCCTGAGGTAAATCAAGTCAAGTGCTATGCACATAAAATCGGCCTCGTGGTTAAAGCTGGTCTCAAGGCTTTAGGCATGAGTGCTGGTCACACCAAGCCTACAACTACACCCGGAATTACTCTAACTGCACCTACCCTCACCTTGAACGAGGGTGATGAAGACATTCATTTCGATTCTTCAGAAGATTCTCAAGACGATCTCGATTCTGACAATCAATCTTTGGGTGACGACACTTCCGACCATGGCTCTGATGATGATCGATTTAACCGTGTCTCTAAGGTGGCGTGTGCAGTTCGCAAAGTAAGTTTCCGTCCGTTTATTTTTGTTACTACTGTCCCAGCATAATGACATATGCTCTTACAGGCCAAAAAGTTTAATGGTCTATGTACCAGAAGTTCGGCAAGACGTCAAGAATTTATTGCAAAGGCTGAACAATTGGACTACAAAGGCAGATCACCTATCTCTGGCTGGGGAGTTCGATGGAACATCGACGCCGATTACCTCCAAAGGTTGAGCGATGCACGAGATGTAAGTACAATCAGCTCTATAATATTTTGTTTTATCTTTGATTTATCTTTGATTTCCCTTTCTAAACTTATAGGTGGTCGATGTGATACTTCTCAGTGATCGAAAAACTCGTTATTTTCAGGGGTTACATATAACCAGCGATGAATGGGATGCAATAGAGATGCTAGTCAAAATCCTCCAGGTAAAGTTCATTTTTTTCTGTCTTTCTGGATTGTTCCTTTCTCTTTATCTGTTGTTTCATTACTGAAAAAGTCTTCATTCATAGGTATTCCTCTATGCTACCAAAGGAATGGAGGGCAACAAACCGACTCTCAGTCCGCTGCTGATCGACGCCAAGAAGAACGTGCTAATTATATAGAAGGTGGTCATCTTTTGCATTCTGGTCAGAATGAGCTGGATTGGTGGAGGGTCAGTCCAATCTTCATCTTCTAAATTGTTTATCTATTTATCTTACCGTTTGATTTTCTGTATACAGGAGCATCAAAAGGACTTTCCCGTCCTTGCCTCTTTGGCTCGCGATTACCTTGGTATCTCTGGCACATCTGCCCCATGCGAGAGGACTTTTTCCTCTGCAGCAGATATTGCGGTACCTGGTCGAGCATCTTTGACCGGCAAAATGGTACAGAAGTTAGTTGGTGTACGTGAATGGTTAAAATCAAACATCACATTGTCAGGTAAATTTGCAGAGGCTGTAGCGTTTGTCCGAGCTTATGCAACTTCTAACACCAAGAGTAGAAAGTAGTTTATGTTTTGAATTCCTCTCTATAGGCTCCCTTTCAAATATTCTTTTTATACTCTCCTTTTCAAAACCTTGTTTCCCAAATATTATATTATTCGCCTAACTAATAAAAATCAAAAAATGTCTTTCTGTTTGTTTCTCCTTTTCTACTTCCAATCATATCTCAATGCTCAATGCTGTGCGCAAAAAAAATAGTGTCTCTTTTTCTTTCTTGTGTGCGTTTACATCCCCACTCTGCTATTGATGATCAAGTAATCAAAGTTGTGTTAAAACATATGTTGACCGCCCGCGCTTTCATGCGCTAACCAAGCCCAAAATTCCCCCGAGCGAAGCGGAGCGATGTAAAACCGTGCTTCGCTATGAAAAGTCATAGCGGCTTCATGTTTATAGCGTAGCGATTTGGTCTGGGATCATAGCGACATATCGCTCCGCTTGTAAAAATGGAATTTTTAGCGGAGCGGAGCGAAGCGCGGTGGCCTTGGCAGTAATAAACAACATTTGCTTTTCAAAAAGCAAGAAAACTGCTTGCTTCAAAAGGTGTGAGTCAACAAAAAACAAAGTGAATTTGGACAATAGAAGATGTGGAAACAACCAGTACATATAAGAGAAACAAACTGAACAACAAAATCCAAATACTCGGACCAAGCAACAGATAACCAAACTCCAGTGATGCAAGTAGCTTGCAATATTTTGTTATTTAGATGAGTACAGCTGCACAGCTTTAAGAACACCACAATCCAAACCTCAGCTCAGCAGTGCAGCACCTTGAAGGATTACTTCAGCCTTGCAGCATGCTGCAAAGGGGCTCACAACAGCAAAGACTTGAAAAAACTGAAAAAAATGCATTTCACAATTGAATGAGGTTGTCACATTGAGGACTATTTGAAATTATCTTCAGTGGAACAAAATTCAAAAGTCTTGTTTTCTAAACTTTTGTGAGACTGATGGATTTGGGCTGTCAATATAAGTTCCACTTGCTTTGTGGGATTTATATAAGTTGTGGTTGGAAGAGCCTAATGCCTGTTTTTAGTGGTCTAAGAGCAGCCACAGATGTGTGGCATAAACTGTGTTGTACAAACATTTAGGGCAAAATCATCCACAGCCAATCCCCTCAATGTCCACTTTCTTAAAGGATTTCCTTCTGTACAAGCCAAGATAGAAGAAATTTGTTCCATTTTGTCCCTAAATTCATCTGTACTGTGCTTCCCCCATGATATCGATTGATACAATTGAACCTGTCACCAAACAAACACTTCAATGATCAAAAAAAAGCCATGGAATTGATGTCAGAATATGCTTACAAGCCATACTGTATCCAAGTATGGCTGTGGACTGCGCAATTTCTATACCACAAACACTTCCCTAACTCTCTGTGCAAACAATCCATCTGGCACAGATTTACGGAACGGCTGGGGATGCTCTAACTTCCCAATTGTGGAACTTGACAGCCTGGTTTTTAATAATGGCTGGTGCAGCCAAATTCAGCTTGGACACACTTGGGAGTCCTTAAAAAAACCAAGCTTTGGGGAATTTCAAACTGGGCAACAAATAGTGTGATCCATACAAAAATATCAAAGAGTTGAATTTTATGATCAAGATGATGATAGGAATAAGAGATCTTAACTATGTGTATATGCAAAACCTTTGAGTTGCTATGTCTTGTTTCCTTTTTTGAGGGGTGAAGGGTGTTCAGCAAACCTCATGTGAAGACATTGCAAACAACACTTGCAATTCACAGACACACCTGGTGCCACAAAGCCTAGAGGTACCCTGGAGGGGCGCGTGGCAAGGGCCAGGGCTCAGGCCATGCATGGCCTTCACAGGGCATTGGGCTCAGCTAATCCCCCCTTGAAGAGATTGCCTTGAGCAGGAAGCTGCAAATAAAAATGAGTTGGGATCTGATCAGATGTTCTTTGAATGGCAGGCCACACCCTGGGCCACAAAAAAGGTGCCCGGTGTTTGCAGTTGAAGAAAGTTGTGGATCTGGTCACCTCAACATTCTTCAATTCATTTTTGAACCGTTAGGTATGATCAACATCTTGGTATGGATCATCACTGTACCACATGCCACAGTCAACTGCCTTTCTCCCCTGTGACTCCGGTTGATGATGGGACAGGATGTTAGGCAGGGGGTTTGAATGCCTGCCCATCTCTGTAGTGAAACCACAAGAATTTTCGAGTCTAAATGACTTGTACCTCATCCACTGAATTCCTCAATTGGGTGTGCAAAGCCCATAGGTGTGATAGAGCAGAGGGTCACCACTTCCGTTGGGTGGACTAAAAGCCTAAAGTTGATTTAAAACAATGCCAAATATCAAGTTATTCACACACTCATTTACCAGAGTTATCCACAATCCCAAAAGATGGACACTTACAATAATAAATTATCTCAAGTAAATCTAGAATGAGATAATTTATATACTCAGTGATGAGACAAAAATCTCAAAAAGCAGATATCCATCATCTGACGTCTGAAAAGCCAACAATCTCCCTTGCTCCAACTAAATGGCCAAATATCTGAAGTAAACTAGTCTCTTTCTTATTTACAAACTTGTTTGTTGATGCAATAAAAGCTATAAAAACCCTATTGATTCCCGTAGTGTCATAATAACTATAAACCTGTTTAAGTGCATACTACATGGGAATCCGCTTGCAAGAGTCCCAGTAGGTCCCGGTACTTTTCCAGATGACTTCTGATCTGATCGACATCCACAACTTGATTTGAAGAAAGATAAAAGTTTAAATATTAACAAGCACACAACTGAACGTAGTAAGTTAAACCAAGCACTCTAGGATTTCTCGTAAATAGAATTCAAACTGACTCAAATTGGATTTGGAGTCTCTAAACTTTAGCTTACAACGATGCAATTCATGAAAAGAGATTGGGAGAAACTCTCGAATAAAGCTTCCACAAATCAATCTGAACTTATCTCTAATCTCGATCAACTCATCTCTCACCTCGAGCTTCTTCGTGAAAACAACGGCAACCTAGGTTAGTTGAATGGAATCGGTATACATTATCTTATCATACTGATGTCCTTTTACTTCCTGCTCTCAATTTGATCAAAGAACATACTCAGACCGAACTTGAATCAATTCTCAGTCAATCCAAATTGATTTCTAAATCTGCACTTCAATCTCATAAAGAATATCATTCATTATGTTCTAAATGGCAAAAAATGATCGATAAAAGATTCTCGCAGACCGTTTTACCACTTCTCGGCACTCAAGCTACATTGAATTCTGATCCAAGTCTTTCAGCAAATGATGATCCGAAACTCAAAAGACCATTCGAATCTTATTCTGCTAGATCTGCACTTGATAGGGTAATTGCAAACCATTTGATTCGTCAAGGAAGGTTTGAAACCGCTAAGATCCTTTTGAAAGAGTGCGGTCATTCGATTCCCAAGGAACATATCGCCTCTTGTGAATCACTTTATCAAATTCTGGATTGCATTCGATCTGGTGATCTAGCACCTGCAATCCAATGGGCCGAGGAACATCGAGAATGGCTGGAAGAAAGAGGAAGTCCATTAGCATTCGATCTCAGACGATCAGAGTTCGTACATCTTTTAACTGATGATGACCTGAAAGTTAAAGAGGAAGCAAACGGATTCAATTCGATAAATGGTGGGGAAATAGATTCAAAGATGGAAGTAGAAGATGAACCTGATCGACCCAATAAATCTAAGAATGCGAAACCATCTCCAGCTCAACAACGAGCACTCGCTTACGCTAGTGAACATTTTAGACGATTCATCTCTACAAGATGGGATGAAGCTGTTAAATTAACTTCTTCAGTCCTTTATGCTCCTTTATCTAACTTGAGAAAATCACCTTATTCAGAATTTTATCAATCAGCTCAAACCGGTAGTTTAGTACCTTGGGTTCATGCTCATCATCTTATACCGCTCTTTACGCAAGAATTTTATGCAGCCTTAAGATGGAGTAAAGAGTTACCATTAGTAGTAGCAACCGATCTTGGATCAGGTGGAGCTTTAGCTAAAATTGCAAAAGTTAGATCAGTAATGAAAGAGAAAAGAACAGAATGGAGTCAAGCTGATGAATTACCAGTAAGTTACTTTTATTCTATCCTTTCAGTTTTTCTGGTCACTGAAGTCATCCGATCTGAAAATGCTTTTTTTCGAACGTGGGTGCAAAAAATAGGTTGAGATTCCATTACCAGCTGAATATAGATTTCATTCAGTTTTTGCTTGTCCAGTTTCAAAAGAACAATCAACTGAAATCAATCCTCCAATGATGATGCCATGTGGACATGTGATTGCACAGGAATCCATGAAGAAATTAGCCAAAGGCGGAGGGTAAGTAATCTTGACTCTTGTGATGTATAGATTTCAATATTCTAACGTATTTTTTTTGTCATTGTAGAACGGTCAAGTGTCCATATTGTCCTAGTAGCGCTTCAATGACAACTGCCATGGAAGTTTATTTTTGATTTTCTCTTTGTTTCCCATCATTTAAATTGATTTTAACTTTTATCATTCATACTCATCTTTCATTATTTTTATAATGTAAAACAAAATCCTTCACACGCATAGGATTCCTATTATCGTCTTTCGTTCTTACTTATCAATTGTACATGTTCATTTCCTGTTGGCTTTTATGTGTCTGTTGTGCTCAAAAGTTGTCCCTTTACATTGCAGCTTGTACAACTTGGAATCTAAATGGTATCCTCTTACAATCAATCCACTGGTGAAGTTTAGCTCATACATACATTCATATTGCAACAACTTAATTGTAATGATAGACCCTGTTACATGCGCTGTAGATATTGGCCTTTGGTGACATCCGCTGCGTCGGTTGGAGACGCGGGGGCAGCTACCTTTTCAGAAGCGAGAAACCATCGAAGTCGGTTTCCATTTTCAGGCTGAGTCTGTTGTTGATAGTTGTTGGGAGTTCGGTGACCGAGAGGCCAAGCGTGATGTCATGGAATCCGCATACAATCAGTGATAGATTTCTTGGTCCTTTTATTCCCGGCTCTTCGATGAGATTTGCAGAGTATCTTTGACTGACCAATAAATGATAAACGTTGTTCTACGCCCTGCGACCGATCCTCTATAGCGATCGATAATCCATTAACATCAACATATAACGTGAACATATCTGGAAAGATCAACCACGACATGAATTCATCAAAGTTATCTCTGGCAATCAATTGCTTGCTATGGCTGTCAATAACCCCTAGATCGTTGTGCGATGCCGGAATGCTTCAATCACGACAAGGTCAGTCTTCTGAAATACTTTCATTTTGGAGAGTATCAAAAGACGTGAATCTTATCCCATGTTGGATCAAATAGACCATCTCAATTCCGGACTCGGTGCCAAACAACAACTTTCTGACTCGAAAGAAATCGACGTACCATTCCGCGTTTTAGAAAAGCGATTAGAATCAACTGGAAATCAAACTGATCCTAAGAACACCGGTTCTAGTGATACAAAAGATCCACAAAACTCTCTGGATTTGAGTCCACTCGCCCTTCAAGAAGCAAGCAAGCACGATGGAAAGGAAAAGCCAGAACAGATCCCTTCATTGACTAGCCCGAACAACTTTGTGTGCCTTCACTCATGCCTCCAAGAAATCTTGAGGTTTTGAGACGCTGATCTTTTTGATTTTATGGTTGCTTTTATACTAGATCAACTTTTGCATTTCGGGTGCCGGGACGTTGGGTAATGCCGTAATTCAGAATGGAGCACAAACGAAGAAAGTAAATGCATGCAATGGAATACCCATGGGGATGGTCAGTGACAGTCTGTCTCCTTCCCGTAAATCGAGAATTATCATACGGGGTTGACTTGAGCGTCTACCTCTGTATGACTTTGGTTAAAAGCTGATCTGTTGAATTCTATCACATAGATTCCAGCTCCAGATAAAACACCAAGTCTTAGGTTCTTCAGTCCAAAAAACCTGGACACGGTTCCAGCTAAAAAAACTTTCACCGTATCTATAAGCGTCAAGAATCTAGACGCCGGTCATTTCACAGCTCCTCTAGAAACGTTTGTCATTCTCGGACCATTCTGCCTTCAAATTCAGTTTTCGGAAAGATTCAAATAAAAGAGGAAGAGATAATATTAATGAGATACAATCCGTTTCCCATCTTCCAGTTACTTTGCCGCCCCTATAACTCTTAATGAAGCAGCAGTCGTGATCGGACATACACACATTGTAGCTCAGCGTGTAGAGAGCCTGACTTCAACCGCCCTCCTGGACCCTCGCGAATTTAAATTTTTCAAAGGTTGGTGTACAACTTCATATCAATTGAGAGTGAAGATTTGATTAATTTATCGCCAAAACTTTCAAAACCTTAGGAATAGACAGTCCAGTCGATAAAGAAGGAAAATTGCATGCTGAAGTGAAGGTAAGTTATCTTGCGCATCCAGATGATGTCATCACAAGAAAATCTGTCTCATGATTTGATCTTTCTGATAGGATGGATTGGAAAAGGGTGTCTATAGGTAAGTAGATATCACAGGAGTACGAAGGACCTTTCTCAACAAAGTCAATCTTTCGCTTGATATTGACCACATCATGCAAACAGATTCTCTACCATGACCGCGGGTGCAAATCATCAGCCAATTGCAGTGGCCATAGCCCAGCACGATAGCATGGACGATGGTAAGCCTTGATTCTTTTTTAGAATTCCAGGGTACAGGAGTCAGGACTGATATCATGCGTCCATTGTAAAACCCATCTGAAGTGATTTACATCACTGTGGAATGATTCAAAACGGAACTCTGAGCCATGGAACAGGAACCTCATTTCTAATAACATACCCCTCAAGGACAAATGCGTCCAAAATCACCCACATAACAGCTGGTCATAAGTGGTCATAGTAGATTTATATACAATGGTCCTCCTCTTCTTTTCTCTTCTCTGTTCATTTCATGGGGTTTTGATCTGATGGATTATCAAACTGTTATACTAGGTATCCATTCCAACTTATCATTTCTTTTTTCTCTTTTTCCTTTTCCGGACCCATTCCTCATTTATAAGTCTTGGTTGTGATCATAGGGGTTTGGTTTCATAGGCTATTGAAATCTGTGCAGTTCTTGTCATGTTCTTTGTTTATAAATAATTCTTGGCTCTCGGCATGTGTCTCAGTGTTATATCCTTATCTTGTTTACTTACTAAATTAGTAGTCCGATGACATGCTCAACTAGGCTCAACCGCATACCATCACACTATATAGCCCTCTGTGAGCTATCTCACACTTGTCTTTGTTAGTATAGTGGTCAGTACTCCCGCTTGTCACGCGGGCAACCGGGGTTCGAGTCCCCGACAGAGAGATTTTTTTACTACTAGCCATGCATAGGCTGTGGACGAGCGTCAACGCAACTGCTTTTAGTATTTGGAGGAAGCAAATTTGAAAGACGGTGACGAGAGGGCTGATGAGTAATTGAAGGGCTACATTTTGAAACCTCTGACGATGAAGTCTTGATGAACCCAATCATCATCGACCGATGATTCCAAAAATGGTACGTACATTAGGGGGTTTCAAGTCAATAAAATTACGGTATTTTACAGTCCAACAAGTTGTCCGATGTTGCAAAATATACAGCTGTTTTCAAAAATAATGTCATGGGGCGATTTTTTATTTTTGGTTTTCCTCGCAAGCCACGTAAATACAGGCCTGTATACCGCGGTGTAGAGGGACCGGGTGTGTCCACTCGGGAGCGTCTACCCTAGATCCGATTTAAGAGGCGGGTTATTGTTTGGTTCCACCGTTCAATAACCCACCAGATCAACTCAGGCCTTGGCCATCATCCCCTCATCAAACAACTCCTTTCCACACGACTCTACCACCGGCAGTGAGGCCGTACCCTTAGCTCCCTTTTCTACGGAACCAAACAACGACAGGATGCCTCAAATCGACTTTTCAACACCTCGTGTCCACATCAGCTTCCAAAAGCCGGACGGCGACCCTCCAGATTGGTCATCAATTCCACCAATCGACTCGAATCAACCACCGGTGGTGGAGCCTTACCTCACTTTGGCTCCACCTACCAACACAATGGTGTGCGTCCAAACCCACTTGTTAACGCCTCGAGTCCACATCACGGTTCACACTCCGCTTGTCAATCCTGGTGCATCTGATGGTCCTCGTTTTCTTCAACCACAACTTGACCGCCACCGGGTTGCGAAACACCATAAAAGGCTGCTCTCTCACTCAAGTGACCCCAACAATTGCCCCAAATTCCCAAAAAAATTGATCTTCCGTCACTTTTTTCCAAACGACACAATGCCACCCAGAAAACTCTCGTTAGACCTTCCTTTTCTCTATGCTTGACAATTTAACTTATCTCTGATTATTGTTCTCTTAACTATTGATACATGATACAGTAAGCCAACCGATGGTCAAATTGACACCATGAGCCGGACCTTGGCAAGCCGCCCAATCCGTACTCGCAGTCTCCAGGCATACCTCGATCAAACTTTGGGGAGAAACATGTGAGTGCTTACCCTTCCTTATGGTCATTGACCGCTTCTTCTGATGGTTGTTTCTTTGTCTTTGTGTAGGCCGTCTTTCAGCACGCACTTCAACTCGGTCATCCAGCCAAAAACCCAAACCCCCGACGATTCCACGAGTACCTTGAATGTCCCTCACCCCTACCTCTCTCCGTCCTATCGCAGTCCTATCTTTGCTCGTAGCCCAACCCCCTATGCCCGTTCTGCCAGCACCCCAAATACTTCGATCACTGGAGTCAACCCTCACATCAGCCCTTTCCTATCTGCCGGTTCTTCAAACTCCAACTCGATCAGCAACTTATCATCTGCAACAACCTCAGACGGTATCGGGAGCTCCCCTATGAAGAGACCGGCCCCCGTTCCCGATTCCCCTGTCTTGAACCTGAACATTGATCACGGTAAGGATTTCCTTGATTCAATGAATTATTCCAGTCAAGCCTTTAGCTGACAATGTTGATCTTTGGACCTCTATTTAAAAGATGACGACGACGATGGTGAGTCATTCATAATTTTCCTCTTTCTGTTACACATAACATCAGCTCATTTTGTCTTCTTTTGTCTTTAGAGCTTCCACCGCAATTTGAAGATGAATACGTCAAAGGTCAGTCTTCAAATCGACTTTGTTCGGCACCATTTCATCATCTGACCTTTGCTTAATTAGGTCGCCCTGTTTCACTTCATGTTCCAGCTCAAATTTCCAATACATCACAGGCTCCGACTCAGACCAGTCCCGCTCACGCCGAGTGGCCCAAAGAAGAACGAAAATATTCGGTGCATTTCAATCTTTGGCAACATGAGTGCCCTGCCGAACCCGAACCGAAGAAGCACAAGCGTACCCCCGGTGGCTCTCGTCCAAGTCAACGTAAATCGACCAAGGCCAAGTACAACAACTATGCTCCAAAGGTACCCACGTATATAACCTTTAAACCGGATGACATGGACTTTGGCTTGTTCAAATCCCAGCTATTCAAATCTTGCAACGAGCACCTACCTGGTGTGGATCAGGTCCTCCACCGGTCCTGGGTTCAAGGTGGCCTTTCGATTATGGGTTATATCAACGGTTCTAAGGGTTACAAAGGTAGAGATAAAGAGCCCATTAAAACGCCCAGCTTTCTCGACCACTCCTTCAAACATTTCCTCGAGGCTTGCAAGGCTGCACCTGCCTCTTCAAAGATGGGCTTTTGAATCGTTCATGAAAACCCCTTGAAGACCGAGACAGCTCCTCGTTCACTTGCCCACCAAGTCCCTACTGCTGAACCCGAACCCGAAACCGAAGGCTCGGATGGTGAGGAAACAGTGGCCTCTGATGGAGTAGGTCTTTTTCTTTTGCTTGCTTTGTGTTTTATCTCTTCATTATCTTTTGGGTTAACTAACCCTTCTTTTGGTCAGTCTGCCATTCTCAGCGCAGGAGAACGCAATCTGCGAACCTTGATGCAACGGTTTGGAAAGGACTTCAAACGTGGGGAAAATGTCACCTCGGTCCCCAACCCGAAAAACTCTGGGGAATGTTTGCTCCTCAACACCTCCCGCATTTGCACCTGGGCAAATGACTGGGTAGGTTTTTTTCTTTAGTCTCTTCGCTTAACTCTACTTTCTATACTTATCTTCATGGCCTTTTTGCATTCAACCTGACTCTTTGGGTTTTAATCCTTTGCAGGCGGATGGAGTCCGTGGTGTCGATGAGGTGAATCCACCAATGAAGCGACCTGGCTTTCGCTGGATTCCCGTCAGCGACTACGAGCGCGAGAAGAACGCCCTCCTAGGTTTGACCCCCGCCAGGGTCTCAACTGGTAGCCCAACTGCCCCTCTTGTTGTTCATCACAGCTACTTCGGTCACCCCGCGCACCCTAACCCAGCTCTGGCCTTTGGGGTACCTGCTATCCATGGTGCGCCGATGCCACCTCAGTCCCTGCGCTTATCTCCTCCACCTCAAGACACTGTCATTGAGTTCGAGCAGCTCCTCGGGTTTGCAGGTATTGGTCTAGACATGGTAACTACTCGCGAATGTTTGGCTAAATAAGGTATCAAGGATTTCCTCCGATTGTTGGACCGTTCAACTTACACTATCAAAACCTTCCACAAGATGGGCATCCCCTTTGCACAAGCAGAGGATCTCTTCAAGGCAATCCCAAAATACAACCATCATCTCAAGTCTCTCTAATGTGTCTTCACTTTGATCGTATCAAATTATGTTTAACTTTGATTGTTCCTCTCTGTTGATTTTACATCGATGTCATCTAAAATAAACAACTCACCAAAAACTTGTTTCACCTGTTATCCTTTGATGTCATCTCCGCGTCGCCATTAGTTCGAAACAAAAAGTTTCTTTGCTTTTCACGTATCATCCCTATTGTTGTCATCTACACGCACGAAGTAGATTAAAGATTTATCCCCAAAAGAGAAATGTCTATTCAAACTGTTTGAGCAACCTTTTAACCTTACTGTCGTGAGCTAGCTAAAACAAGAGTCGAGTTGAGAGCTTTGAGCCGAGAAGAGTCGAGTTGAGAGCTTTCAGCCGAGATTTGACTCGACACTTCTGGAACTTAGTCATATCTGCCCTTTACGGCCACTTGCCATTTGACTTTGACACTGCTTTGAGTCACCACTCAAGGGACAAATCGACCTTGATGACTATGAGTCACTCAAGTCACTAAACAACCTCACTGCGGATTTTGAGATTTGAGGGCACTTTCGTCTCGAATCTCAAAATTGGAACTTGTTAGACTTGAATATTATTCCTAAAACAACTCCCTGTCTTGACCGATTTCACCTCACTTTGGAAAGAACAAAATACCAGGATCAATTGAAAGCAAGAACTACAACCAATATCCGCACACACTGTATAAACGATGCATAAGACTGCCAGAGAAAACGTTCCAAGTGGAGTCCATAATAACATCTATTTTTTCTGCATTGTGGGCTTCGTTTACGCATTGCGTACGACAAAAAAAGGATTTCAGAACACTGAAAGCCTTCTCAATGGGATTGAGATCAGGTGAGTAAGGGGGTAGGTATATCACACGGATGCCTCTTTCTTCGGCAAGCTCGGCGATGCGACCACCCTTGTGAATCCGGGCATTATCCATGACCAACACCGAATTGGCTTGGGGATAAGGGTTCATAACTGGGAACTATCGGAGAGAAGATCATGTCAGCATGATCGGTCACGACAGGCGAAGTCTTGAACACAAGCTTACCAGGCGATGTTTGAGGAAACTTTTGAAATCACGGCGGTAGTAGCTACCCTCTTGGCAATCCACCGCCAAGATACCACCCCTGAAAATGGCTGGTAACAGTGAGTAGCGTTTCCCAGCCCGGCTCCATGGGATCCTCTGGGTACGTTGGCCCTTGGTGGCGCGGCCAAACTGTCGCTTGAGGAAGGTCTCCTGGATTGCGCACTCATCTGTATATAGACCAAATTAGCTGAGACGCCTAAAGCAAAGTAAGGCTTGGAAGTGTATGACTAACCCAAAAACACTAGCATGTTAGGTGTCAAAGCTCCGATAGCGTGTAGATAACGAGCCTGTTTGGTGGCGCTTTGCGCGGGGTGCACCGTTCGAGCCTTTTTGAGGGTAAGGTTGAGTCGTATCTTGAGGTCACGGGTGACAGTTGGTAGAGAGATCCACTCTCCAGTTTCCCAATAGATGGCCAGTCGATACTCGTCTAAGTATAAACCAGGGTTACGATCCAGGAGCTCAAGCATAAAGTCGCGGTCCTCATCCGTCAACCTTAGGTTCCTTCCCAACCTCTTGTAATCATCAGGATTACGAACCACAGAGGCCGTTCGTCAATACAACGCGTGCCATCGAGAGATGGTGCGTGAAGAGACTGGTGATTTCAGGATGGCTTGAACCTGAGCAATTGTCTTCCCTGCCTTAAGGTGCTGAATGGCTAAGACTTTGACGCTGGCCTCGTACTTTCCGCCTCGCACTCTTGGGACTCTGGCCATTCTGTAAGTACGCAAATCAAACAACGCAACGTCAATGAAGTGATGTGGAGTTGTGAAACGGGTAGTGGGGCATATCTGACCTTGCCAGTTATCGGGCCACGCTGAACTCGCTGAGCTTATGTCGTAGGATCTGATGGGATGGGGTGGATTTGACGCGGTATCGGATGGGATGGGAGGTGGTGATAATCGGACTGGATGTGTTAGGAGGTAGTGGATGTTGGAGGGCAGAGAATTTTCGATGTGGCGATCGGATTTGGGTAGTGGATGGGACCGACCATATCCGATACATCAGCCCGGTGTTTGTCCTGAACCCCCTGTGGTCCTGAGTAGAGCCTGTATTGGCTGTATTTGGCGTGGCTTGCGAGGAAAACCAAAAATAAAAAATCGCACCATGACATTATTTTTGAAAACAGCTGTACCGTCAATTTAAAAAAATCGGGACACCTTTTTAGGTGTCCCGAATGGTGTTGACCGTATATTTGCAGAAAAAAAACCCACTGTAAAATTTAAAAAACTTGTCCGTTTTTTAAAAAGTTTCACAAAAAATTTCTGACTTGAAACCCCCTATTGTATACACATCTTTAGGCCATTTTTACTTTCACTTTTGGACTAGACTGTCACAAGAGAAAATTGGAAAGATTCCAAAAAACAAGCTCATAGCAACAAAGGCCTGAAAGGCTTAAATGGATACAGGCCTCGTCTTTTACTTTGGGTTAATCTACATTAAAGTCAATATTGCAGTAAGGTACAGGTGATCAGGTTTGTGGGTTTGAACTCTTTTGCATTCAGTGGTAGATAGCTGTAGGAGTTATTGTCTGACTACTTTGCAACTTTGGGCTCTTGTGTCTTTGAAATTTGAGTATGATCAAGTGAATAAAGTACTGATCAAGAGGATCAAGAAGTCAATGATCTCTTTTAGAAAACTTACTATTGAATCAAAAATGAACGAGTTCTTTACACTAATTCACAATGTTAATTAATTTTTATGCGATCTATAAAGCTAGATAAATATACCCTACAGGATTAATTATTTGTACAGATCAAGAATGAAAAAAATAATTACAAGTCATTAATGAAAAGTTTTTCACAAAAGTATAGAAAACAAGGGAAAGGAATGCTCATCGAAGTTAAAAAAACTTGAAACCGAAGGAAACAATCTGACAACTGAAAAACAATTATTGATTTTCAAGATTCCAAAAAGCTTGCAATGACTGATGGTTTTGATTAAGATCATCATTGATAAACGAATTAAATCCAAAATTGATACCATTTTGATCGAGACGTTCATTATTGGGACTTTGTCTTGTAGTATGATCTGAAGAAGATCCAAGATGAAATGGATTCGACCAATTCGATAACCTAGGATCTTGCCAATCTAAACTATTACTTAGACAACTTGATGTATGAGATCCATCAAACGATTGAGATTGATTACTATGATAATTTGGATTTGAGTATTGTTGAGAATTAGGTGAAATATGATTAGGTGTCCATTGAAGTTGAGATGGTAAGCTAAATCGATTCACATTATGATCAGGTGGAATCGATGGGAGTGGGTAAGACATATTCCTATTCCAATTCCTAGAATCATGATAATCTATTGGTGTAGAACTTGGATCATTCGGTTGCCAAGGTGGTGCCCAGCTAGTAGGAGAAACAAGTTGTGGATCAGTGTGTTGGTGATGATGCTCAAAGATTCCTTGATTTGATGATAATGTCAAGTCTTGGAATTGATTTGGTATAGTCATCGACCTTCTCGTAGGAAATGCTTCGGTTGATGCTGAAGGAAGAGGAGTATTAGGATTTTGATTAGCGATGAGTTGACTTAAGACTGGAAAGGCTTTATAAAGATTTGCATCTAAAATTAGTGTTTGAAATCTTTGTTCTTCATCTGATTTGTTTCTTATTTGATCTTCATCTTTTTGATCACCAGTAGAGGTTGAGATCGAATTCTTTGGGGTTGGTGGGACATTGAAAGAATCTCTTGAATGCTCGAAAGCGAAATGATGGAGATCATGGGTTTCGGATTTTCCTTTTGTAAGTTGTTTATTTTGATCTTTATGTTCTTCTTCAATGGTGGATCGGGTAGGGTTTTTTGAACTCTTTTCTCCATTTTTTCTATGGCGCTTTGGGTTATACTTGTAATCTTCAATCGGAAACGAATATAAAAAGAAAGTATAGATTTGGTCAGTAAGATTTATCAAGCACCTTGTTCATTTCAAGGATCGCATTGAGATATAAAAAAGATCTAAGATGGAATAATACATACCAGGATGTTTGGCAGCATGCTCAGCCTTGATAATCTCCGCTTTGCGCTCATACATCTTTTTCACTTCACTTGGTTCCTCGCGCCATCGAGCAGCAATCTCTTTACTCAAAATCGATTGAGCTAATCCAAGATCTAAAGATTTCATCTCTAAAATCTTTTCAGATCTATAGAGTATCCATGAATTAGGAGGACGAGGTAATCTGCCTGCTACTTCATATGCTGGTCTAGCTTTCTTCGTCTTTCGTTTTGTTTTAGCAGTTCCTTTACTTAGCACTGCTGATTGCTCGCTGATTCGATCCGATGATTTTACAGCTTGCTCATTGTTGAATGTGATGATATCATTTGTTGGATTTTGATTGTGATCTTTGTGATCACGTACGGAAGGATCTAACACAGGCAAGTCACAAAGCTCAGGATCTGAGGCAGACTTCACACCAGCCATTTGATGATTAACTGTATGGTCTGAAAGCTGACCCCCTTCTTCATGATCTCTGATAGAAGAATGATGCGAAATACCAGAGGAAGGACCATCATGGTTTTCGATTGTTGGACCTATTTTAATATCTGACGAAATTATAAAAGGGGGAGGAGATACCACGTCAGGATCTTCGGTTGTCAAAGCTGGTGGTGTATCATCAGGTTGAGAAACTCTTCCAACATCGCCGCTTAAGATAGAAGCAGGTGGAACCAATATGAGATTCTGTGTAGTTGAAATTGACGGTGTATCGTCAGTATGAGAACCCCTTCTAACCTCAGAGCTGAAGATAGGTGGTGAGTGCGCTTTATTTTCGAGGAGATGCTTCGGGTGTTCTGATACTTTTTGAAGAAAGCCTGAAGAGCTGCTCAATGCAGGAGGAGAACTCAGCGGTCGGACGAGAGGCGAAGATGGAGGAGTAGGGAATCCAGCTAACGGAAAGCCCAGTCAAACACAAATATGAAGAGGTCAGCTTAGGTCAGTGGTTTGAGTAAATTATATGTAATATTGATAAGAAGCTATTTCTTGGGGATATCAGCCCGTGGTAACATAGTAGTAGAAAATAATACATGTCTGTCAAAAAATGCGTGTTACTAACCTGAGACCGAAGAAGCAAAGGCCGGGTAAGATGTATTGATAGAGTCCATCATGTTGTGTTTCTGGAAGTCCGACAAAAGTTCTCCAACTCGATAACAATGGGATCGAAATTTTGTGTGTATAACAATGATTACAATGCGATTCTCTTCTAGACAAATTGTATTGTTTTCAAGAATTAATTTGCGAGATGAATTGTGAAACGAAGGTTGTGGGTTAGCAAGTTCCTTTTTTTAATAGTTGAGTCCCCAAAACGCGTCTTTTGTGAATAGGTGCCTTGATGATTGTTTTTGTGAGTGAGCTTGAGGCTTTGATCAGTAGAATATAGGTGAAGAAAGATTGTGAGTTGAAAGATGATTTGAATGAAATACAATCAAACAAAACAAAAAGTAATGAGAGAATGAGAATTAGAAAGGAAACAGAAAAGAACTGGATGAAGTGTTACAATCATCAAATGACAAAAGAGCAACAAGGTCATCGTCTTCCTGAGCCATATCGGTCATACAAAAGTGACTAAATCCGAACATCGAAAACAAATTTGAACAATGGAAACAAAGATCAATTCCTCTCAATAAGGGAGCAACTAAAATCTTGCGCCTTTCGCCGGATGCAAGTGGCCCTCGTCGGTAGTTGCACATCCACTTTTTTAGAAATGCGGAACGGGAGCAGTCAGCCGGCTTATCGCAACGGCCCATAAAGGGAAAAGTCCATCGAAATCTGTGTTCGCAAACTGCCTTTGGTAGTGAAGGATGGCCGAGTTCGTCTTATTCACTTTCCGTGAGGGTCTGCTTGGTTTCCCGATATGGTATATATTGACATCCAAATTGGATCATCTTTTTGCAAAGGAATTGACTGAGCCGCTATTGAAAGTCTCTCCAGAGCGAGATCGGCATGAAAATATCGCGCCTTCCCATCATCAAATTCTCAAAACCCGTGAAGGTTGGAGGTAGAGAAGATGACTTCAATCCAAGCGCACCGGGCCAGTCATGCCGAATCCGCACAATGTGCAGTTTCCGAGTGTCTTTCTGCCGTCCTACTGGTGCTCGCTCTAACGAAAGTGTAATCTTCTGCTAACAGATCATACGCGCGACGACTTTCTTTGACTTCTCCTGACCAATCAGAAGGTGTGATTCAAAGATATGTAACACACGTGAAATCTCTTGAAACTTGTAACAAGCTGTGTTGTACATGTGTACAATGTGAGCCTTCATTTAATAACGCTGTAAATACCCCCTCTTGTTCGTTCTGTCCTGTTTTGTCCCCTGTCAACCAACCAAAATCACACAAACTTCGCACTAAAAAGCTCAACTTTGAACCACTCACAAATCTCATCATCAACTTGAATTATGTCTGGACGAGGAAAATCCGGTGGTTCGTAGCTTCTATCTCATCAAGCTTTACTCACTCTCATATCGCCTTCATTCACACACTAACCACACCTGGTTCGTGATTCTCATTTCAATAGGAAAGGGTCTTGGAAAAGGTGGTGCCAAGCGTGAGTTTGATATCCTTATCGGCTAGTTTTTCAAGTTCTCCTTCTCAACTGCTCTTTGTTCCATATTAGGTCACCGTAAGATTCTTCGTGATAACATTCAAGGTATCACTAAACCTGCTATCAGACGTTTAGCCAGACGTGGAGGAGTTAAACGTATCTCCGGTTTGATTTATGAGGAGACTAGAGGTGTTCTCAAAGTAAGTCACTCTTCTGCCCCGAGTGAGAGTCTCTCCTTCAACAGACTTACTTATCAACGTTCAATCTCTAAGATCTTCCTCGAGAATGTCATTCGTGACTCAGTTACCTACACCGAGTGAGTAATTTCTTTCAAACTCTTTGACTTTCACCTCCATAGACTGACTCGCGATATTCTCATCAGACATGCCAAGCGCAAGACTGTGACTTCATTGGATGTAGTTTACGCTCTCAAGCGACAAGGTCGAACTCTCTATGGTTTTGGTGCTTAATCTCCACTTCCGTATCTGTTCTTTGTTAGCACGATATGTCCACCTATCATCCATGGGACATCCGTTGTACCTGTGTTATCTTGCTCAATGTATTCCTATGATGTATATCCCATCCTACTCTTTGGAATTTTGATGCCAGATTTGTTCCTCGCATTTGCCATTTTTTCCTATGAAGCGAGACCACTTTCATACGGATATGCCAGACTCTCTATCACTTTGCCTGTCCACTAAATCTCCTTCGCTCTTACCGGGTCGCCCAGAGACAATTGAAGACAGATTAGGAAGCCTCCTAACACCCTTCCTCTTTCCCGTGCCATTGAACTTATAAAATATCGAATTCAGACGTCACTTATGATTGAAGCTTGGAGTAAAGAACTTCACAATCAACTTCGACTCCATACATCCGTTTCATGAAGAAGTAGAATCCTGAGTTGCATAATGATGTTAATCAAAGATTTAGTATGCCTTCACTTCCGCAACGGAAGAAACCTTCATGAGCGAGCGATAATCACTTTCCTTTTCCGTCGTATCTCTCTTTCAAAAGTCTGCGACAGGCAAAAACAAATGCCTCTCTGTCGGGGACTCGAACCCCGGTTGCCCGCGTGACAAGCGGGAGTACTGACCACTATACTAACAAAGACATGATTTTGCTGGGCTTTTTGAGTATAAGAGTGCGGAAAAACCGCTGACATGGGCCCGGCTTGCGCCACCTTGACGTGAGCCACAGGTTGGCCCTGGTCCGCAGCCAGGCAAAATTTACACCCGGGCCTGACGCAAGCCAAGAATTGGTTGAACAACACACGCTCCGCCATACTTGATCTTATAGTTGCAGTGCGAAAGTGTTTAGTTTCAAGTCTGATCCACCCAACACTAGACTTAGTTGTTGTGTTCCCTTCAAAAATCACAGTACGTGTTTGAACGCAATCCAGTGATTGATGGACGGATTGTTGAGATGTTGTGAGAGTTGAGAAACGACAAAAGACAAGTCTGGTCGTGTGGCATTGTCCAGATACATAAGTTTGCCGACTGCTTGTTGATAGCTGACGCCGAGTTTCTGAAATTGGTGGCACTTGTCTTTGGAACCTGGTGTCAGATAGGTGTTGGGGATCATGGGTGAGCCAATTGGTTTACAGTCCTCCATCCCATAGTCTTCTAAGAGGTCTTGTATGTACTGGCTTTGCAAAAGAGCAATTGTCTTGGCTTTTCAATCTCTTACCATTGTCATCCCTAGGATATATTTGTATTTGATTTTTTTGTCCATTTGAAATTTCTTGGTGATAGTGTTTTTGAACCGTTGAACGTCATTCAAAGCGATGACCATGTCATCCACATGTACGTGGATGATACAGCACCAGTTAGGATCATTGGAAATGAAGAGGCTCACATCTGTGGTTGAGGGAAATAGTCCAATAGTGGCAAAGAAGGCTTTCAGTGTGTCATACCAAACTTTGGGGGCTTGTTTGAGACCGTAGAGTGCTTGATTAAGTTGTAGAACAGTCTCCTTGTCGGCGCCTTCAGCACTGCACCCTTTTGGTATCTTGATAAAGATGGTTTCTTTTGGGGTACCGTTGAGGAAGGCTGCCACGGTGTCCATTTGAATGACGTCTAAGTCTTTGGCAGCTGTGACAGTACAGACGGCTCAAAATGTTGCAATCCTGCCTGTTGGTGCATGAGTTTCATTGTAGTTGACACCAAAATATTGAAGGAATCCCAAGGCGCACGGGTGTGCTTTGAACTTCAGAAGTTCACCATTGTTGTGGTGAGCAAGATCTCTACTTAAGCAAAAAATTTAAAAATTATGGGAAAATTTGTATTTTTAGTCAATGGCAAATTTATTGTTGAAGTTATTAGTAATCAAGTGTATCATAGTTGATTTATAATCTTCATTTCATTATCTTTAAAATTATATATTTACATAAGCAATTGATAAGAACATTTAAGAGTAAAGAAAAATTCAAAAAGATCAATAAAAATAGTATGAGAGTGAAAATTAAATTAAAAGAATTAGTAAGAAGATTGGAAGAAGAAGAAAATTTAGTTTCAATCTTAAAGAATGGAGACTGTTATGAAAAGAATGAAAGAAGAAGCACAATATTGGAAATTCAAGGAAATATAGAAAATATGGGTATGAGAGGCTGGAAAATGGTTTTTAGGTTATTATGATAAGAGTTATTGGTTCAGGAAGGTTTTATTATGAAAGATAGGTACAACATTAGTCATCAGCAACTTTGATCATGAGGATTGATAAGGGAGGTGGGAAATTATTCAAGAAAAGGGGATTTTGAAAAGGGGTACTATGGTATTAATTCCTGTGTAGTGATGTCATCGATGGATTGATTGTGCCAAGGGTTTTTCAGAATGATTTTAGGGTTGTGTGATTGATTGGAATGCTGTGGGATGATCTTTTGGTAGAAGAAAAATCATTATTAGACGTGAACACAGTCAAATTTGATCAAAAATGGAGGTTTTTAGTTAATTACATATGTTAAAACTTGTCAGAATTGGGTCTGTGATAGTTCATTCGACGCAGAATCATTGGTTTCATAATTCACAACCTTTAATTAATTAGTAACGGAGGATTAGTGAAAAAGTTATAAGGCAACAAAGAAACTGGAGTGAATTTCGAATTTGGTGGTTACATATAACATTTACATGACAAAAGCTTATTTTCTCAATCTTTACAACTCAATAACTTATTCATCACACATCAGAAATAGGTCATATGGGGGTGATAAATGATCAGTATCACAAGGGCTATCAAATGAGCTATAGTAATCCAAAATTGAACAACTTTACAAAACATTTGTAATTCCAAAAATGGATTTCAGCTATGAATATTAGGAAAAAATCACCTGTATTCATCATTTATTAACATCAATTGATCAAATTCACGCCTTGAATCATTACAAACAATAATATTTATGACATCATATGGTTACATTGGAGGATTTCTGTTGATTTTTGACGGTTTTTGAAGGTTTTTGGAGGCTGTTGACCATTATTGAGGATTGTTGGAGGGTTATATACTATTGTTAGGGAATTTACGTGCCTTTGTTCCCCTTGTTACTCATCTTATACTTTTGTTAGAGTGTTTTTAATCATAATTAAATTACTTTAGCAGTACTAAGTTCACTAAATTGCGCCTTTATGTCAAAGGAGAGATTTCTTTACATGTGATAAGACTACAAGTCTTCATTTGGAATAACAATCAAACTGATTTTTGCTTTGCTAGTAATTAAAATTGTGTTTTTGTTGTGCTCAGATTTGAATAACACTATAGCAGTGTTGAGATTTCTTTATTTCTAAAAATCACAGGAATAATACTTGAATTAAGTATTGAGACAATTTCTCTGGTGCCTTATCCCAAAGAATTCAGCAAAACCCCGTGTTGATTTTTTCAAAGAGGAAGTCTTAGGCAACTTCCACTAGTTAGTTATATTAGTAGATTATCCCTCTTTAAGCTCTGTAAAGCTCTTGTTGAGCTTTAAGTTCTACATATTGGTGACTCCACTGGGGCTTTTACTTTCAACGGCTACATCTGTCATTTTATATTTAATAATTTCTCTAATTATTATTTATAACATTAACAATTTATTATTCAAGTCTTTGCGAACTTGGCTAGCAAAAATGATGTTTTTACCTGACTTTGAAGATGCATTGGAAGCTTTGCTCTCCAACGGCAGAGAAGATGGTTCCTCTCTTATGACCGACATCTGGGATGGAGAGATGTGGAGAACGTTTGAGGCCTCCGGAGTTGCCTACACCTCAAAGAGTGGCAATTTAGTATTTGGATTGTATGTCAATTGGTTTAATCCGCACGGGAAATCAGCACAGAGGCGACACTCAAATGGAAATATTCTTCTCATCTGCTTGAACCTACCAGCCAACATTTGATACAAAGAAGAAAATTTATTCCTTTTTGCTACTACTCCTGGTCCACAAGAACCCAAAACAAAAGATAATCCCTTGATACCAATATAGATTTCTGAAGACCAATTAGGATAATTGGTATTGTTAAGCTTCTCTGTTACAGTTATCTTTGATAAGGTATTAACCATGGAAGAAGCCATTTGAAACCTTCTACTATCGAATGCTGATGGGGTAGTAGTAGTGATGAGGGTAGTAGTACCGGGTGGAGGGTTGGGGAGAGAGGTAGACATCGTCGGTAATAGACTTTGAATAAATATCTGTTCACTGATTGATTCAGGTTCTGATGATGATTGGAAATCTTCCTCTGAAGATATTGAATGGGCTGGTGAAGTCTCTAAAGTAGGAGAAGAGGTAAATTGATTTAAAGGTACAGTGGTTTCGTCGTTGTTCATAAATTGATTTGACGAATCGATTTAAAACTCTCGCTACCGTGTAAATGGCTAACAACACCATGTACCTAATAAGATAGTGCTCAAAGCTCAGCACTCTTCTCCAACACGCAGGTATCCAGACCTGGGAAACTAACCTAATAAGATAGTGCTCAAAGCTCAGCACTCTTCTCCAACACGCAGGTATGCAGACCTGGGAAACTAACCTGAACACAATAAAAGAGAGAGAAATATAAGCAACACAATTGATAATAAACGAGTAAAATAAGAGTAATGTACCTGAGTTTTAAGGAGGGAAGATAAAAATGAGAATTTATAAAGTTGTAAGTCAATGATAAAGCTTAAGTGATCTATGGGAATCTTTAGTGTGATAACATTAGTATTAGTGCGAGTGTAGAAATGATAATGAAAGACTTACTCTCTTTCCAATAGATGAGGAAAGAGAGTTTAGGATGAGAGGATAGAGTAACATTTATATAACTTGATAACTCAAACAAACATTGTTGGGAAAGATCAGCGCTAAGATTGGTTGGGAAAACATCAATAGGACAAAAGACATTGCACAACTTATCACAAAACACTTATAGACGAGATTGAAAGAGTAAGAGAAACCTTGACACTTCTATACACCTTTCACACTTGATGACACATTTGACGCTGGTCTTGATTGTCTTTCAACAGGAAGTACTTCAATTATTCAACTGGTACAGGTTGTTCCCTAGTTGCAGAGGAGTTGGATCGATAGTTGTTTGTCCTTTTATTTCCTCTACCTCGATTGGAAGAAAGATTAGGTCGAGGTTGAATGACTTGTTGGTTACGATCGTTGGTAACAGCCAGTATTTGAGAACTAGATGCTTGATCAAGACA